TGGGCTAATGTATAAGCCTACATACATATAAAAGACTCATTCTAAGGTAAAGAAAACAAGGATTCCTATATTCAGGTGATTATAAATTAATGAAACATACCTTCATAGCCATTGCTGTTCAGAGACAATTCTGCTGGAATGGAGATCACTTCACACATAGAAAGTGACAAATCAAAGTTTTGTCTACTAGACAACCAAACATTCTCTTCACGTATCTAAAGCCACTTCAAAAGATAGTATTGCTCTACATTTCCCTATCCATTGTCCCTAGTTGTATATGCACAGATTCAGATTCTCCCACTCTGAGGTGACACTATTTGCTGTCATCCATGCATGTAAAAATTAGAAAATCCATAAAAAATAAAAATTAAGACCTCATTTACTTTTGCCAAGGTTTCGGTTTTATCATCATTCCATTGTGACTGTGTTGAATATACTCATATCAGTGTGCACAGTACATTATTCTTTCTTCTTGTCAATAGCCTGACACATACTGTACATCCTTCTCCATGACAGAATACATTAGATTAGTATAGAAATCCATTGTGTTTGTATGTCTTTATTCACAAAGTACATTTCAAGCTTGTTTGATGCTATAAATGGGACAGATGGGTGACAATTTGAAGGAAATACCAACACAAACCTCCTAGTCCCTGGAACCTTCTCCATTTTCCCATAGGTGTCAAATTTATTCACATCATTTTCATTCCCATCAAACCACTTAATGAAAAAACCCTTTGTGTCCAGTATGGATGCATCTGCATTTGTCATGTTTATCCACTCATTCATTAAGGTTTGTCTTTTAATTTGTCACCTGTCTGTATATTTTCCAGATGACAAAAAATGGTAAATGTTATATTAGTCATAGCAAACTCTAAAGTTATTGTAGAAAAAGTAATGTGTTTGTATTAATGTGTTTGTATAAGATCACATTTCATGCATTCTTTTGTTATGATTATTTTGAGCATCTGTGACTCTCATATTTAATTACTAATGATATATGAGATAAGGTGATATTTGTCCTAAAAGCAGTGATAGCCAGTGTCACAAATTTGACTTTATTTCCATGCTGGTTCTATGCAGTATGTACTGATATCTTTGATAGGGCATTAATACTGTTTTCCCCCTGTTGTTCCATCCCATCATGTATTTTCAGAATAGTGGTCACCAGTAACAAACCTCAGTGTAAAATACAAGTAAAAGTCAGGCATTCAAAATATGTCTTAAGTAAAAGTAGTAGTAGTGTTATTTATAAATACATTAATGTAAAGTATCAAAAGTACAAGTGCTAATTATGCAGAGTGTATCCTGTTGGAGTCATATTTTTATAAACTGTCACCAATGATTTGTTATTATTAACGCAAATCGAAATATAAGCAACATTTTAATAATGTAGCTGGTGGAAGTAAGGCAAACTCTACCACTTACAATGTTTGGTAGTTAGATCAAAAATAACATCACACTTTATAAAGGGATCATATATTCCGTGTGTAAAATCTTGTGTTTTCACTAAGTTGCCTAATCAGACCTCTTCTGAGGATATTGGGGGCAAATACAAACTGCACTTAATCCAGACAAATCCAGTCAAAAATCCAGTCTGACTATGATTAAACAACGAGGGCACAAATGTGGAGAAAGACATATTGGTGTGTTGTATTTCATAGTGTACCTTGAGATTGCTATTTTTAAAAAAGGTAACAAGTAATCACATTTTCTTTGCGGCTGGTTATTGCCAAGTTAGAGGCCTCACCATATCCTTCTTTTCTTTAACGCTTCCATGAAGCTTTGACAGTGCTGAGTTATGAGCCAAGCATCTTGTGAGCCCCCCTCAGTCAGAGCTGCTTAATCATGCACTCAGAGGGAATTGCCCAGCACCGGGGCTGATTTAGTAGCCCATACCTTTGGGTGCTAGAGTTCAGCGTCACATCATTACTTTTTTACACCTTACATTGATTTGTTTAGTGGGGTAACAGGCCTTGTTGTGGTCTGCAAGGGGATAAAATAAACACCAGGTGAGAGTGCAGTCAATTGCACTTCTCATGGACACTACACTCTGGGGTGGGGTAGATAGAATGGAGTTGGGATTGACAAAAAAAGGAAGAGGAATAACCACCAGAACTGGCTGTTACATGGACAATATATTCGTCAATATTCCCTTTCCCAAATGTACAATACCTTAACTTGTAAGGGTTCTGGTAGTTTTCCGTGTGAGGGGATTTTACACACTGGCATATTTCTTCACCCAGGGCCTGGCATAATTCCCAGAAATCTTTCATCATGGCTGTAGTGGTCAGAGAAGACGCAAAATTCTTTGAGATTGCCGTGAATTGCTGGAGAGAAGTCCAACATCCCACAGTGTCTTGCATTCAGGTTATGTTAAAGGCCCAATTTGTAACATTTAGGAGGATCTATTGGCAGAAATGGAATATTATACAGGTGTATAATCACCCAAAAATGAGAATCGTTTTTTTGTTACCTCGTTATTCAAAATGTCAAAACATAGGGGGTTATACCCCAGACTGTTGGAACAAGCAAATATCTCAGAAAGTTGGAATTAGAAGTGTTAACAGGTGGATTTTGTTACCTTTGGACTAGGCTAGCCTTTTCCCATTGTTCCCAGTCTTTATGCTATGCTATGCCAAGCTAAGGCTGGCAGCCCTAGCTTCAAATTTGATATATATAGACGTATATATAAACACGCAAGCGGATCTTGCCAAGAAAGTAAATAAGCTTATGTCCAAAAAATGTCAAACATTCCTTTAAGGTAAATAACAGCAGCAGCAGCAGAAACATCATACAAGACCACTTGTCTTTACAGATGCCAAGTCTTAAGCAACCATTGACTAATCTACCTGGAACAGTCGTGTCACATGGCAATCCGAGATGTGGAGAGCTTCTATAGGCTGTAAGGGCTTATTATGCGCCCGAGAACCCTGGGTTTCGCCACCTACTGAAGACTACCTACACTCTACAGCTAAACCAAAGCCCAGGTAACAGAGTGAATGAATAGCTAGTCGAGGAACCAATACATGTGGTTCCTGGACTTCTGTCGTGATTGACTCATATGTAACAATAACAGCAGCTTATATTAGCAAAGAAGACTAGCAGCTTTCATCGCATGTGTTGCAAACGAGAGCCATTTATCACTATCACAGCGATTGTCATTTGGCAGAGCCATTGTTTAATGTTGTGGGAAAATGGCATCTAACAGATAAACATGAAGTGCTGGTGATGGACAACGCATCTGACATGGTAGTTGCAGCTCAAGTTGAACAATTTGCTAATATAAAATGCTTCGCTTATATGTTGAATCTCACATCACAGCGTGCACTTACTAATTATCCACTGCCTCCAGGCATCTGAATCCTATGGTGGTAAGAAGAGTCTGACATCTGCACTGTCAACGATACAGATATGTTAAATGCAAAGGATGCTGTGAAGGCATTAAAGACAATAAAGCATTGCCACTACATTGATGTCAGGAGAGCAATCCAGCTGTCTGTCTCATTGCCCCGCTAAATGCACAACTCCTCTAGAACAGACACCACTGGAGAATCACCAATGATCCAAAAGATTGAGCATGCCATCAAAGCAGATCTCTGACAGAGGTACAAAGAAGAACATCCTTCATACAGCCTCTATCCTGCTTTTCTTCATTTAGGGGGAGAGATCGGAGATTTAATGAGAAGCGACTACAGAGGCTACATCCCTGAATGCATAATTTCACCATGTATCATATTAAACATACAAAATTTAAACAAACTTAAAATCGCCATTACAACGTTAAGTAGCTACAATGAGTTACAGCTTTATAAGACTGAAACAGTTGTCCTGAGAAAATTGCAAACTGCGGATTTAATGCTATTCTTTCTTTTGTTCAAACACAGAATGAGAGGACAGAAGCGGATAAAGCGCCTGAGGGAACATGGAACTCTGGAAGAAGAAGCTCTACCCATGCAGGACGATAAGCCTACATGCCTCTCTGCTCCCAAAAGAAAGGGCTCATTGCTGCTAGTAAGTTTGCTTAGACATGCTTTCTCTGAAGGTACAGTACAACCCGAGACCGCCTTTGCCAGGGCTGAGGAGGAAATGGAGCGATACTGTAAAGCCCCATTTCTACCTCTCACTGAGGATCCTTTTTACTGGCGTCGTGTCCATGAGGTCACATTTCCTCTCACCTCCGGGCTGTTGGAGAGATACTTCTGTATCCCAGATTCAAGCATATCTGCAAACAGAGTTTTCTCCACTGCAGGAGATGTGGTCACTGCAAAAAGATCCACTCTCAAACTAGAACATGTGGATCACCTATGTTGTGTTCTCACACAAGAACCTACAAATTCCCAAAACCTGAGCAGTGGGCAATATTTTAATAAATCAAAAGGTGTATTTACATCGAATCTGACCTGCGGCCCTTTGCTGCTTGTCATCCCCTCTCTCTCTACCCACCTTTCCTGTCAATCTTCAGCTGTCCTATCCAGTAAAGCAATGAAAAAGGCCAAAAAAAATTTTGAAAAAAAAAAACAAAAACAAGAACTTGAGGTGGTGTTAAATTGCTCTTTAACAAAAAGCTTTTTCATGGCAGACATTTTAATTTGAAATACATTTAGTAAACTATGGCTCAGTTCCATCAAGTGTCCCAGTAACACATGACAGTGAGATAGCATGTACATTATCATGACCCTGGACCTGGCTCAGCTAAATGGTTTTCAATTACATCTGTGCCTTTTCATGATATGGCATGCCAAAATGTCTGTGATGTTGTCCTGTGGTTGGTAATATTCCAAGTGTATGTCCACAAAAATACAAATAACACACAATAAAATAACGTTTAGTATTGGATCAAACATGGATATAATGGTTAGGTGTGGAGATTACAAATGTTAAATGTTAAAAACACTATGCAACATTTGCCAATAGGGCATGTGCCAATAAGGCCAATGGATGGTAATTAGATTTCTTTGTAAATGTGACATGAATCTTGAATCTATTGTTCTCTATAGAATCCCTCTACCCAATTAATGGAACAACAAGCGCTCGGTCAGACGATGGAAGTTCTCCTCAAATTCTGCTGCAACGACCTTTTGTTTACTTCGGACAGTCCTATAACCAGATTTATGTATGTGAAAATAATTTTAGCAAACTGAAAATTCTGGTTTGTTTTGTGGAGGCATACAAATTTCTGTTTTGAATATTACAAAAGCATTAGAATTAGTTGGAGTCAATATATTGATATAGCCACAAAATGGTAATAAAATAATGTAGCAATAAATATGTTGATATAGCCACAAAATGGTAATAAAATAATGTAGCAATAAATATGTTGATATTTGATCATACATGATTGTCAAGGACTGTAGTCGATGCCTACTAACTCTTTGTTAGTAAGAACTGGTTTATTTGTTTCCAGGTGAACCACAACGGACATCTGACCTTCGATGCACCATGGTCTAGTTTTTCACCTCAAAGGTTTCCAATGTATGGATCCAGAGACATCATTGCTCCATTCTGGACAGATTTAGACAACAGAGGAAATGGTGAGATCTACTACAACCAATACACCAGCGGCAGTGTTCTCCAACAAGCTACTCAAGACATCAATGAGTACTTCCCAGGGTTGAACTTCCATGCCGCCTGGGTGTTTGTTGCAACATGGTATGAGGTGGCCTACTATCCAGTGACTGGAACAGTAAGTCATCTTGTTCTAAATGGGGAAATGCATATGATGTGTATGTGTGTATTTCTTATAACCATATTTACTATAAAAAAAAACAAATAATCTATTTTCAGCAAACAACCATCCAAGCAGTCTTGATCTCTGGTGGCCAATACTCATTTGTGCTGATGAACTATGGGATAATAGCTTTTACAACTCGCTATGTACAGGTTAGAGCCATTAAAATTATATTCAGATTCACTACATGACATGTTTTTAAGTTGCCATGCTTTACCTAAATCTGAATGCAATAATGGCACAAATGTACAAATACAAAAATGCGTAAAATGTATTTTATCTATATGTATCTACATGTATTTCCAGGCTGGATATGACACAGTCAACTCTGCTCACCATTTCTCCATCCCTGGATCATTCTCGAGCAATGCAACAGGCAATAACTCAAATTTCCACCTGAGCAGCAATGTGAATGTACCTGGACGCTGGGCTTTCCGGTTAGACCATGGATCAAGAGGCTGCACTTTTAATGGTAAGGCCAGAACTAGAGGGGGATCACTAAAGGTACTTCTTTATAGCATATGTGACCACCAATCTATGAAGAAAACTGGCAAGAATGTCATTAAGGCCTGAGGAGAGAAGGCTTGCAGGATCGGTAAATTC